TTTCTGACTAACCAGGCAAGAGAAAAAAACTGGTCTTGCCTTTAAAAGAGAATTCAAGGAATAACTCATTGAAAACCTTCATTTACACAGTAGATTTCAAAATAAAGGCAAATAAATCTTGCTAATGAAAGCAGTTATCAGGTGATATCTGTGAGCAGAATATAGATTGCGTCTGACCTGCTACATTGGTGAACTTTATACTTATTACATTCTTGTTCTCTCCCGACAGCCCTCCCTGAATCCAGTCTGTATGTTTTGGGACTTCAACATGAGCAGTAAGTCTTTCTACGTCTGTCGTCGCTTCACTGTGAAAATCTTAGGTTCATCACAGGTTCTCTGACCTACAGGGAGCCGAGAAACAATATACCTTGAGTGTTCTCAGGAAAACCTCCCATCTGTTCAAGTTTTACGTTCCAAGTGCTCTTTTCATCAACTCTGCTCACCCGCTGGGATTGTGACGATGCAGTTTGACAAACTCTGAGCTTGAACGTGTCCTTGGTTTACCTTTTTGATTTATATGTTGGCGGTTCAGGCCACATGTAGATAAACCTCCACATTTCCAAAGAAGAAGAATTTGTGAAAAAACAAACCAATTAAGTATGTCTGATTACAAAAAAAAATAAAAAATACAGACAGGGAGCTGCCTAAAAAGCTCAGTTCATGAATGATACAAGAGGTGTTCCTAAAGTTGAAAGATTGGGAACCAATGATTAAGACAGCCTTATTTTAATCTCTAATCATGTAAAATGTCTGGTCTTTTATGTGTCTGTGCCCATAATGGGTCCATTGTAGACCCCTCTAGAAAGTTCAGTTTTTGGACCTGAGTATTTCTTAAACCCTGCGTAGAGCAATGCTGGTGAAGTACTCCTAAATGCCTGCGTATCTGTGTCTACATGTAAACACAGCTAGCTTAACGTCAAGAAAACAGCACTGAAAATGTCCTTGTTAAAAAGGATAAAGATCGACAAAAGACAAAATTCGGATTAGGGTTGTGCTGAATTAGGGTACTGGCACCTTTTTTAGTCCAATTCAGACACTGGTCATCGGTTTGGTGTGTGCAGGCGTTAACTGTCAGTGCTTGAGTTGCTTAAGTTTGTGTTGCACTTTAGTAGTTTATCTGCAGTGTTTCACCCAGTGGGATTCTGCGGGTTGCTGATCTTGACTGACCGATTTGGTATTTGTCAGAAGTTCAGGTCACATTTCTGCATCAAGGTTCAGCTTTATTTTCGTTATTCAGCCCAGGATGGCACAATGAAAATGTTGTTGTAGACCACCTCCACACTCAACAAATATTCAAATATTTAGTAGAGGAACAAAACAATAAAATAAGCAATACAACTGAAGTATATCAGGGGCTTGGAGCCATGTTGGGCTAATATGTGTATTATATATCAAATTAAATCTCTCAGTGAGATCTTTTCACTGCCAAAAGGACACAACTGAAATGATGACCCATAGGTTGAAAGTTGTAAGTGCTCTTTAAATGTGTCAGATGAACACAGGAGTCCCAGGACACATCAATAATGATAAGGGCACTCCAAAATGTATTAGAAAGGTTGATGTGCATGCAGTTACAGATCAGTATCAGTTGATTTTATATGTTCCTTGTAGCCTATAATTTAAAAACCATAAAAGTTGCAGAGCATTACTTCTAGATGAAAATATTCGTTCTTATCTTTTTTCCGTACTGATTGATTAAGTGTAATTGTGTGTACATTTTATTTAAAATGAATGTGGTTTACGTACGTACGCCCATATTCTGCATAGAAAGATGTTTCTGCCAAAACGGTTACCTCATTCTTTTGGCATTTTTAAAATGTTTCATACATAATTTAATACTTAAACTGTAGAAATATAGTTTTTATAGTCATGCTGAATCTGAAAAAAGATCAGATATTGTGCTCAGTACAAAGCAACAGCAGCTCATTCAAGTTCGATAATTAAAGATAGATAGATAGACCTCCAAATACGTGAAAATTCAATTTTGGTGCACTTTTTAAATTCAAACCAAGTAGACATCATCTTCAGCAACATTTATTTTCAGTAGTTCCTTCTGAAAAACTGAATTTTATTTGCAGTAAAAGACAAACCATTCTTCTTAAGACATATTTCATGAACAACTCGAACAATACATAAATAACCGCCATGAAATATGATACAAATACAAATATGTTTCTGTGCAGAGGTGATTGTAATGTGCAGTAACACCTCTATGCTGCCACCAGGGGGTGCTGGAGGTTGGAACGGAGAGGGTTGCAGAGTGTCCAAAGAATCCAGCAGCAACAAAACCATCTGCCTCTGCGACCACCTGACCCACTTTGGCATCCTCATGGTAAGACTGAACTGTGATCTGAGGCCAGGAAATATTTTCTATTGGAGCTGTGCTGTTGTTGTTGTTTTCCTGATGTTTGGAACAGAATTAATAAGTTTATTAAAAACTCAGGTTGTGTAATCAGTTTGATGCCATTTTCATTAGAGAAGGGAGAAGAGTTTTTTGGAGGGAACAAACAGGTCAGAAGTTTAAATCAGAGCCTGTCAGGTGTTTGTGGTGTCCAGTTAAGGATGTCAAGATGCTACACAGAAGAATTCATAAGGTCTTCAGTGCAAACAGCTGTGAAACATCATGAGCAACATGTGATATTGGATTTATTTATTACGTGTTTTTTATGGGTTTGCTTTAATGTTTTGCCCGTTCATTCACTGGTTTCACATTTAATTGAGTGTCTCCAGAGCTCCACTGATGAGGAATATTTTTTCTGTTATTATAATATGTCTGCTGCAACCTGTTTGACTTCTGGTCTCTTTTGTTTTTAATTGTGCATTGGCGATCAAACCCCTCCTGGCAGTTAATACTGTCTGTCAGTGTGTCTGCGTGTCCAAAAGCACATTTTTAACCAATGAGAATTACAGCACACCTTGTATTCAGACTTACCCCCACAGAACTGTCAGATTTCATCAACTTGATGAACATCAACATTGATTTTTAACTGGATGCTATTTAGCAGAATTGACTATAAACGTGATTATTGTTAGAACCATTTTGTATTTTTGGTTTGTTGTCAATTGGGAATGACTGAGACACATATTTTATCCAACCCCTGCATAAGTCAGTGCCCCACTTCTACAGAATGCCATTAAGTGTGCATTCTGTAGAGATGTGGGATCAGATTCAGATTAGATTACAGTTAATATGAAGATGTATCGTGACGCTACGTTAGCTTTGTTTTAGCTTGTGACAAGAGTTGCTAGCCATGTTCATCATGCTTCATTCGATCTGGTTGTGAGGGATTTTTTTAACCAACAAGGAATGTTAGCCAGGTTAGAGCAAGAGTCTCTCACAATGTCCCTGCAGGCAAATATGTTGACAATAATCAATGCTTTAATTAGACTAATTATTATCTGTTTTATTGTACTGTCTCTCTGTCTGTGTCTGCAGGACATTTCTGGAGCTTCGCCCCACATAGATGCGCAGAACAACAAGATCCTGACCTTCATCACCTACATCGGCTGCGGCATCTCCGCCATCTTCTCAGCTGCCACGCTGCTCACCTACATTGCCTTCGAGTGAGTCACGTTAGATGTAGAGCAGCTTTAACTAAGCGCTTTGGGTTGCCTATACAGAGACATGAAAACGTTAATTAATATTGTGGATATTAAAGGTTCAGTGTTTTACATTGAAGAGGATCTATTGTCAGAATTGGAATATAATATTATTAGTATGTTTTCATTAGTGTATAATCACCTGAATATAAGAATCCTTGGGTTTTCATTACCTTTGAATGTTATCAGTCAATGTATGT